TTTACAATCTAAACTTGTGAGGAGCCCGAGGAAGGCAATCAGGTCAATTTTTTTATTATTTTAACCAGACTGATCCATGTACTGCCTATACCATACCATTTTGGGTGGTACAGTAATCATGCTTCCATGCATGGTAAGTTACAGTCTGTCACATCATAAGACTTCAGATTTCTTTTCTGAAGAGAATTATCAGCATACTACCCTCCTGTCCAATTCATTCACAAGCTGTAAGCATGAATATGGAGTGCAATGTCATCAGACGAGGCCCCACATTGTTCAGCATGTGAGGGCTGAGCTACTGTAACCCAATAACCTAAACTGTTGTGTAAAATCACAAGCTCCCAAAAGACCATAAATTTAGTTGTGTCGGTACATGTATTAGGTTGTTGCATAACTGTCATTAAAATATCTGGATTCCTTTATGTTACTACAAACAGAAGGGTTTTCCTGTTTAGTTTAACATAAGGAACTTTACAAGTCTAATTTTATGGATATATGTAGTATCATCTTTAGTAGAATGTTCCAAAATAGCAAATCTTGCCGCAATGCTACTATATGTACTCAAATATAGCTACACAAAGGAATCCACACACCAATGAAATCATGACCTGGTTAGACTAGGACATGGAAAACATTGTTCTGAAAACATACCTGGTTTAGGGGATTGTCAGGGGATTTCTTCCAAAGCTTCCATATCATATCCTTGTACTGGTTGAGCGTCAGACCTGGTTTCTCTTCCTTTAATTTGAGAAGCTCTGATTCTTCAAAAGCCTGAAAATATACATGTTAAGAATCAAAATTAAGAAACAATTTCGGCAAAAAAACATAAAAAGAATGATAGATTCCCTGCATAATGCATATACAATGACTCTTCAGCAAAAAGTATTCAGAGCTGTGTCATAAAATATTACTATGATATGATTCGACAAAGTGATGCTATACTTTTGTCAATAACAAAGATGTAGATATCACAACTAATATTTACTGGAGAAAAACAACCATCAGAAGAACAAATATCTGAGCACGGAAAATGTATGATGTCCAAAAAGAAAAAAGTTACAGCAAGGCACAACCAGTGTCTCAAGAGATCACACATACATAGCAACATGTTACTCCCTAATGAAACTGCAGAAGCTTAAACCAAAATACAAAACAATTAAAATCTTGAACAGAAGAAAAAATGAAAAAAATGGTAAAGAAAAAACAAAGAGACAACGCTTTAAAAATTACAAAAAGAGAGTCTTGGTTTATATATTCTTAACATTTGCATGGACAACATGTGATGGGGACTTTAAAAAGAAAAAGGATCACTCAGAACAAAAACTAAAAAATTTAAATATGTTATGTAAATAATTTATTTATTTATTATTTATTTTATCCCTAATTTGAAACAGGACTTGGGAATTAACTATGAATTAGCTTCCTTGTTAGGCCACACAAACAAGGAATCATATTAATCTATCTATTGTAAAACTCTAATTATAAAATTTTAATTCAAGAAAAAGGAATTCAAAATTTTTCATTGATTACAACAGCTGTCAGAAAAAGCACAAGATCCGATCTGGTGCACTAACATCAGTCTATTTACAACCGATAAGTCTGATACAACTTGTTTGCCATAGAGGGTAAATCATACTAGATAGAACTGGACAAAATCACTCAGGTTACATTTCAATTGGCTGTTGGACTCCTAAATACAACCCTGTACCAACCGGTACGGACAATATTTTAAACCATGGGTGAAGCTAACAAACAAATAATTCAACTACACATATGCCAAGATGACAGATCATAGAGTTACTATGGTAAACTTATTATTCACTTGTGCAAATCCATCCATCAACTTGGCATATGTGTGAAGCACATCAAAGTGGAGTGTTAGAACTTGTAATTTTTCTACCCATATCTTTCTTCTTACTATCCTATACTAAGTTTTCTAGTCTTTTATGATATGTTGCAAAAATATACACAAGAATAACAATCTTTAATCCTACTATCTGGGAGTGACTGCATGGATCTTTCCAGCCATTGAATTTTGTACGAGGCAACATCCTTATTAAATATAGTGTTCAAGTCTTCTTAGATATTCCTTTACTTCTCATCTGACACATCTATATGCATCCTTAGAACATACCCCTACTATCATAAACGATTCCCCATCATTATGTCGCTTACGAAGCTATGCTCAATTATTCACAAATGAATTTTTTTTCCTATCTTTCTCAATAACATCACATGTTCAACTAAATATTTTACAAACTTTTCATATATGTTGCTTTTTAACAGCCCAACAGTGTGCGTTGCATAGAGGTAGAGATGAAGTAAACACTTGCCTTATAATTTTTGTAAAACTAAATGATACCTAGTGATCACATGAAACACTCAATATAGCTCTCTACTTAACCATCCAACAATATTTTCATCAATCTCTCCATCGTGTGGAATAATAAATCCAAAATACCTATAACTTTTCTTTTCAGACTCCTTGTTCAAACATCCTACCTACAAGTTGTAGTTCTCTTAATATTGCTAAAATAACTTCTTATATATATTCAGTCTTAATCCTACTTAATTTAATTTCTTTCTACGATTTCCCTTTATAACTCAGGTTTAAATTTTAATTTCATTTAAATTCTATCCTTATTTACTTGTTTATTCTTGCAAAACCTAAGGGTGAGACTTAGCATTAAGGTGAAGTTGTTCCTTTATGACCGGGGCTACTAAAGTTTCAGTCATGTCCCCAAATCCTACATTAGCAGGAGATTTATGCACTTGACTTGTAATTTAGATAGTAAAATGATAGGATTACAAAGAGAGTAAGAACATAAAATGAGACACATGGCATCATCCTCTATAAAAGAGAGTATACTCAAGACCAACATTAAATGACTTAAAATTTTAGTCAATTCTATTTTGTTTGATATATTAACCAAAAATACAGCCTCTAATCACCTTATACTTCCACGTTGCCAAAAAGAAACAATATCACAAGAAAAGTTGTTTTATGAAACAATAGGATGGTTTAGAGCTGCACGGTACGACGGCAGGCATATATTGGAATCTCGTTTGTCCAAAATTTGCTTGGTTTATGTTTAGTCAATTTGGTTGACCAATGAATTTATTAAAAAAATGATTTGTAGATTTAAAATCTTGAACAGGACTTTCAAGAGCTGGTTAAAAAAGACCTCTGAAGTCAATGCCGTGAGCCTAAACTATGAAAACAATTGCTCAATTCTAATCTTAAGATTGATATTTCTGAAATAAAATACATGATTGCTAGAGTGCAGAATAATCTTGTTGTTTTTTAATGAATGACGATGATTTTTTAAAGCAACTAACGGAAGCGATCTCCGATATCGTGTGGGAAAAAGGAAAAAACTATAGCTAACAATAAATCAGCGCTCACAAATTTACTAGGTTATCCATCAGCATAGAGCCCAGTGATTCTGGAACAAGCCTATTAGGGTTTGAATGTGTACGAGGTTTCCTGTTTTCTCCGCCAAATTTAGTGTATGGCCAAAACCAGAAAAGAAAGAGCGATACCTTGAAAGAAACCTTGAGCCTCCTCTCAGGATGGCGATCAGGCGGCAGCGCGGGCTCCGGGAGGGCCATCCTGGCGATGGCATCCTCCACGGAGTGGGCCTCGATCACCGAGTCGTCCCTGTTGGTGTTCTCCACCATCACCATCCGATCGTACTCCTCCTCGTCGGCGGTGCGGCTCTGGCGCTTCTTGGCGGCGTCGGCAGTCTGGAGGATGCGCTGCCGCTCCTCCTCGCGGCGTCGCTGGAGCTCGGCCTCGGTGACCTTGGGGACGGGAACGGAGACGCGGGCGGCCTTGCGGTCGGGCTTGCGCCCAGCGACCTCGAGCTCCCGCTGCTCCTGCTCGGCGAGCTTGCGGTTCTCGGCGCGGCGAGCGGCGGCCTCGGCTCGTTTCTCGGCCTCATCCTCGCGCTTCTTGGCGGCGCGGGACTTGGAGCCCTCCGCCTCCCGCCAGTACTGCTCCTCCTTGTCCTTGGCCGCGCGGTCCTTGCGCTCCGCCTCCACAGCGCTCCGGCGGGCGTGTGCCGCCTCCGCCTTCGTGTTCACGCCCATCTTCTTCGGCATTGCGACCGATCGATCGCTTCCACCGCCACCCTCAAGACCGATCGATCGCTTGGCTGCCTGGAATTGTATTATTATTATTATTATTATTATTATTATTATTACTGGAACCGGCGAGGGTTCGAAAAGAACCAGAGCGAGGACGGATCTGCATTTTGCTTTCTGTTTTTGCTTTTAAATTTTTAGTTATTACTTTCTGTTTTTGTTTTTGTGTTTCGTCTTTCCTTTCAAGGACGCGATTCCGGATCTCCGCCCTTCATCCGTCCCCTCCTCATGATCCACCCGTTCGTCGCCGTTAGCGGTGTGGGTCCCTTGTGACGACTGGAACCTTCCGTTGTTTTCTACTGGGGATGTACAAAGTTTCGTGGATCATCGCCAGCGCACAGCGTCATCCGTCATGTCGTGTCTGCCAGACTGCGATGCCACGCATGACGGCACGTCCAGAAACGAAATAGATGTCACTATCCAACAGGAACATGTTTTTGTTCGTCAACATTATAATGAGGCTCAAAATTTTCCAAGAATAAGACCCAAAATCCGTAACCTTTGGCCCGATATTAATTTCTTTTGAGACTTTTACATATGAATAAAGTTTGGATAGCGATTTCCGTTAAAAGAAACCCTAATATTATCATTTTTTCCCCCATGCAGCACCCTCATATTAGTTTTTTCCCATAGAGCTCTTTTTCGGAACCCTATAGTTACTCTTTTGTTTTTTTTTTCCTTTTTTTCTCTCTCTTCAAACTCATTCAATTGATATAATTGAACCAACCCAAAATTTGAACATATTCAAAATAAATAAAATAATATATATAAAGACAAAAAATTTGATCTTATTAAAAAACAAAATTTAATTTAAAAAAGGGGATATAATAAGAATATAAAATCAATCTTTGTATAATTCTTTACTTACCACTTTTTACCTCAAAATTTTCTTTTCCTTGCTCTATTCGTACTGAATTTTACTTTGTTATTGTTATAGGAATCCACCAACAAATAAGGGGTTAATCTTGCTTATTTACTATACCACTATTGATTGAATAAATCCAAAAAAATTTTTATTTTTTTCCTATTTTGTTTTTTCATATAAAATCCTATTTATGTTGTGCCAACCTAACATAAATTATTATTTTATTTTATTTTTTATTTATTATTATTATTTTTTTTATTTTTTTTAATATTATATATATATATATATATATATATATT